TACTCGAACCGTCCTGACCGCGTAGCTCAGTTGGAAGAGCATTGGGCTAGTATTCCAAAGGTCGTAGGTTCGAATCCCACCGTGGCCGGGCATATTTTTCGGGCTCGCCCGGTGTGGATGTGCACTCAGAGTAACACCACAAATATCATTATTTTTGTAATGTTTGTACGTTCTTGAATTTTTTTTGTATATATTGCAAATCATTAAAAATCTGAAAGAAAAAATCTGAAAATCTGATTTAGAACACTATGATTTCATGAATTTAGATTTAACATGAATTTATCATAATTGACATAAATTTCAGAATTTACTCTGCACTGAAAGCTACGGTTATAGCCCAGAACCCTGCAAGGTTTGCATTATCCAAAGTACGTGTTGTCTCTGATGAGTTTATTCTTAGTCAATGTAGACGTACGTCCATTGGAATGGAAAATACCACAACACAAAGGGCTGCTGGCAAACAACTCGATATATTTTTCAAAGAAAACGTCCTTTTCATTTTGGGTGATATACTTTTGTTATGATAATATGAAGAGATAATATGCCTCTGTGCCTAGATGTGCATGTTTGGGAATATTTTATAAGTACATTCAAGCTCATAAAAAATTTTATGTGAAAGATACCGCGTGAACGACGGTGATGTAAGATGTGCAAACGCGATCCCCGGGCGACTGGCTGTTACAACACAGATGTATAGAACGCTTTCATCACACCGATTTAGATTTATCCATGCAATATCAATATAGTTTAGTTTAAGTTTCCTCCTGTAGTAACACTGGATCAATATAAGAGATGCCCCTTGCTGGGAAAGCAGTTTAGATCTGAAGTTTATTTCTTTTCATAAGCTAGTTAGTCTGGCGTTTAGCCTCATCTTATAATGTGTTTAACTCGATCGGCGGTAAGATGAAACGTGCTGTTCTCTTGGGCCAATGGGGCCATCTGTCCACTCGAAGTGTCACGCCCTGCACTCGTGTTGTTTTCTAACTGCAAACAGTAATAACTACTAAGGTAGGTTTTAATTATACATGTTGACAGGATGATATGTACTTTACATAACTTTAAATTAAGACCTTTACAATTATTTAATATCCTTTTGACATTGTACGTTTTAAAATCCAAGCATTAGTATGTCCACTGTCATTTTGACTTTTTAAACTTGAAAGTCCTTCCACATGAAATATTATGCTGATTATAAGAAATTTTTGTGAATGTTAATATTAAAAATTAAGTCTATATACAACACATTTGGATTACCTTTCTTTTATACTCCCTGTACACACGTAAAAATCTCACAACTGTTTAAAAACAAGATGCGTTCGCAACAGGCAAGTAGCAAGCTTGTCAACAAGTTGTATAACAATACTGTTATTTGATCAAGTTGTTGAATTGCCGCACGATAACAAGTTGTTGGAACAACTTGTAACATGACAAGTCTGTTGTGCTCCACAACCTTGTAGCACGTTGTCGACAAGCCGCTGAAAACTTGTCAATAAGCTGGAAACAAGCAGTGCGAACATATCCTGTTCACAAATTGTTGGACCAGCATTGCTACAAGCCTGCTGCAGATTTGTTGCAACTTGTGCGTTTTTACGCGTGTGTATATCATGACCCTCTGACTCGACTGATCACGAATTGGATATACAGACACACCCAATATTATTATAAAGCATTATTTCCTTTTTAATAATTTCTTACGTTATTCAAAAATCCAATAATGTTTATAGAAAGTAATGGAGTAGTATTATAGTTTTAATATTAGGCAGATGTAGAAAAGACGACGGGGCAAACACGACGACGCCGGTCTGAGATCTCCATTTCTGCTCAAGATTGAGAGCTAAGAAATTTGATTGCTGTAATAAATTGAAGCCCTTTGAAATAACCTAAGTACAGGAAAAACGATCCAGTGTCTGCTATATGCGACAGATTTTATGTAACTCTTCCAAAGTCGCAACAAGCATTCACGTTGTATTCAGAATGGCAACGTTGTTGAGGATACCCCTGGGACCGCAAATTATTCAAACTATTTAATGTTTTCTGTGTTTGAATAAATTAGACCATATAGGCTCAGTACAAAAAGATTATTTTAATAACTACGTTTCGGAGTATAACTCCATCTTCAGGTTAAAAAGTAACTAAAGATATAAAACTTTAAAAACAATCACAAATTTAGACAAAATCCGTTAGGATTGCGTATAATAGCTGACGTGCGCTTCAAACTAATTCGTGTCCGTGCGCGCGCTTAATTTTTTCCCCCCATGGCGTGTCCGTGAGAGCGTTAAAATTTCGTGTCCGTGCCTGCATATGTAATTACATTAAACTATATACAAAATCCCTTAACTTCCTGCAGCTCATCCTTTGAGTTCAGGTCAGGTTGCATTCTTTCAATGTAGAATGCCTCCGTGACTTTTCTTTCCAATGTTCCTTTTGTTTTCTTCAACATCGATGGAATAAGCTTAGGCGATTGACCCGGGTGTAACTGTTTGTAATGTTTCGAGAATGCCATATGTTGGTAAGATTTCGCATCGGGATTTCTCGCAGAGCGAAGATGTTCATTGAACCTCACAGCGAATGGTCGGCTGGTTTCTCCCACGTAAATTCCATGGTTCTTGTCACATAAACCGCACTTTATGGAGTAGACCAAATCCTTCCGGAAGCACATATTCTTCTTGTCGCAAACTTGACAAAACTTACATTTCGGACCAGTTCGGCAATCGTTATCATACGGACGGGATTGGACGAGCATGCTTCTAAGCGACTTTCCCGGGCGCTGTATCACTCTGATGTTTAAGCCTTTTTTCCTGATAGTTCTTCTGACGTCCGCAGTAAATTCTTCCGAAATAAACGGGATTACCAAGCAAGCATCTGGATTTGGTGTATCCTGATGGCACTTTGGACACGGCATGGTACACGAAACAAGCAAACAAAGGGATAATGATTCATGCATTATCTCACCATCCGAAATCAATGAAGATTGGAGCTATTGAAAACACACTGAAAACGATTTCGTTGATTTCGTCCGATAATAACCTTAAAGCAACAGCTGAGAGCGAACTCAGAAATCGCACCATCCGAAATGGCTATGCAGCAGAAACCATCACAACTGGCAGCCTAAGGACATGCAAAACAAAGAAATCATCAAATACACCAAATCCAGATGCTTGCTTGGTAATCCCGTTTATTTCGGAAGAATTTACTGCGGACGTCAGAAGAACTATCAGGAAAAAAGGCTTAAACATCAGAGTGATACAGCGCCCGGGAAAGTCGCTTAGAAGCATGCTCGTCCAATCCCGTCCGTATGATAACGATTGCCGAACTGGTCCGAAATGTAAGTTTTGTCAAGTTTGCGACAAGAAGAATATGTGCTTCCGGAAGGATTTGGTCTACTCCATAAAGTGCGGTTTATGTGACAAGAACCATGGAATTTACGTGGGAGAAACCAGCCGACCATTCGCTGTGAGGTTCAATGAACATCTTCGCTCTGCGAGAAATCCCGATGCGAAATCTTACCAACATATGGCATTCTCGAAACATTACAAACAGTTACACCCGGGTCAATCGCCTAAGCTTATTCCATTGATGTTGAAGAAAACAAAAGGAACATTGGAAAGAAAAGTCACGGAGGCATTCTACATTGAAAGAATGCAACCTGACCTGAACTCAAAGGATGAGCTGCAGGAAGTTAAGGGATTTTGTATATAGTTTAATGTAACTACATATGCAGGCACGGACACGAAATTTTAACGCTCTCACGGACACGCCATGGGAGGGGGGGAAATTAAGCGCGCGCACGGACACGAATTAGTTTGAAGCGCACGTCAGCTATTATACGCAATCCTAACGGATTTTGTCTAAATTTGTAATTGTTTTTAAAGTTTTATATCTTTAGTTA